TCTCACCTCGCCGACGGCACCCACACACGGGCGCAATCAAGGGGCTTGACGAGGCGGAGTGGCCGGGCGCGAGGAATCGGAGAATGAGGCGAGGGAGGGGAGCAATTCGCCGCGGAACGATCGCGGGCGCCGGTGGCGGAGCTCATCGCGCTGAAGGAAGGAGCCGCCGCGGCCGGCCGAAAAGCGGAGAGAGATGCGCCGGACAGCGGGATGCGGCTGCGGTGGCGTGATATCGGCGCTGGGCGCGCTGCGTTTTGGGGGGGCATCGACGCCACCCGCCGGCGCCACCTGCAAGCGCCGCCACGCGGGGCGCGGGCACTCGACGCGGTCGGGCGCTGGCGAGAAGAGGAGGAGAAGGCAGCATGGTGGATCGGGGCTACGGCGAGCCACCGGGCCGAGGCGGATAGGGGTGAGCTGGCGGGGGCGCGAGACAAGCCGGGCCGGGCTTACTGCTGGTGGGCAGACGCGAGGCGGTGGCCCATGAAGGAGAAAATTCTTTTTCAAATAAAAATTCAAGATATTTTTAAATGCCAACTTTCAAACATTATTTTGAGCAAGAAAATGACCTCTTTTGAAAATATACCAAAAATGAAAGTTGCTTAGAATTTAATTCCCTACAACTTTGCTTTTATGACCAAAGTCCAATTCTATCTAGATTTTTAAATTATAGAATCAAAGTTAAATTTTAACTCAAAACCCAAATTTTGGGAATTTACTTTGGAAACAAAGTTTTGAATTAATTTGAATACAAACCTTGCTCCAAAAATTTTGCTAAACAATTCTAGATGATTTACAAGCATAACCAACAGTTTCTACTCAACTAGCAAGCAAGAATCAGAGCAAAACAACTCTAATAAGTGTATGCATCATTTACGTTTCACAAACATGTTTCGTATGTTTCGAAGTAATGATTCAGTTGTTATATGCAAGATTACGCATGTATGAATAGGATGCTTGATGATGCATGATATGCGTGATTTGCAGTGCTTAAATGTAGGCATAACACCGGGGTGTTACAGAGTACAGAGAGAAATGAGTGCTGAAATCTAGATGAGGGGCTCACATTTGTGGGAGTATGGGGTAGATTTTGTGGGGTTGGTTGGAGTTGCCCTTACTACTTAACTAGTGTTAGCTGTTGAAATTTAGTTGAGGAATTGTTTGGATCCACAGCTAATAAGCCAACTAATATTTAACCTACCACCAAGCTAATAATTAGTTGTTAGCCGATTTCTTCCGGCTAACACATCTAATAGTTAGCTGGATGAAGCCAAAATAGGGACCTCTTTTGCAAGTGAGGTGGGCACCTAGTTTCCCATAGGCTGGATAACGGTACAAATGAATGTATATAGACAAAAGTTGACGGGTGAGAATAGCCAATAATGTAATATATACCTTACCTCACTCATTTATAGCTGTTCAACACTAGATTTAATTACAGATGAACTATAGTGCAACACAGCTAAACTATTTAGTGTACACCCAATTACTACTTACAGCTATAAAAGCCACCAACCAAACCCAAGCATAGCAAACAACCAAACCCAGGAGACCACCATGCCTTGCACACTCTCCACCCAAAAGAGAGCTCGCCTCGCTCAAGCACCGACTCCGATGCTAGCATGGACATCGCTTCCATACGACCTAGTCCATAACATGGGTGACCGCTTGTTGGCCAGCAACGACATCGACACATACATGGCGTTCCGCGAGGTCTGCCATGAGTGGCACTCCGCCACCAAAGACGACCCTGCAAAGGCGAAGGCGGGCGATGAAACTGATCCAGTCGTTCGCTTCGAGCCCACCAAGTGGGCGTTGCTCGACCGCCGCGACGACCTCATCACGCTCGTCAACGTCAACACCGGCCGGTTCCTCAGCAAGAGGATCCCATTGCTGCGTAGGTTCTTCTTCGTCGGCGCGACTAGTGGCGGCCTCATCCTCCTCGGGGAGTCTTCAGAGCCCCACAGGGCTCGCGTTCTGAACCCGTTCACGGGTTCAATCGCCCATTTCAAGGTGAGGATACCGTGTGAAGGGGTGAGGGCGGTTGCCATGACAACGAAGCCGCCGTTGACGGTCTTCATCTCCACCGAAAATGGCAAGATCATGTGGGCAGATCAAAGCATGGAGACCTTCAAGCACTTCTCGGTCGCTTACCCTAACAAGCCTAGCTGCATGACGTCCTTCGGGGGCAATGTGTACGCCATCGATTGGTACGGATCGATCTACTTGTCCACTGTCGTCGTCGATGTCAGCGAACCGAGGCGACGATGTGCGATAGACATATCTATGGAAGCCATCTCTCCTAATCTTAACACAAGTGGCCAAGGACTGATGAGCGGCAGGTATTATCTCGTGGAGTCTGCGGGGGATCTACTACTCGTGACCAAACCATCGGGCTTTACTGTCGACCAACTAGTGGTTCGTAGGGTGAACATGGAGACCCAGACAATCGAACCAGTCAGTAGCATCGGCAGTCGTGCCCTTTTCGTTAGCCATGGTAGGTGCTTGTCGATCGATGCTGACAAGTTCCCGTCCATCCAAGGCGGCTGTGTCTACTTTCTGGAACCAATCGTAACTCGAGGCTACTATGCGACCGTAGACAGGACCATTGTTCATGTTGCTGACAACGTCGTCAAGTTCGATTGGGGTTGGTGTACCCTACAAGGCTACATCCGTCCGTTCACCCTCGTCAAGGTCTTCGCGGATTACTGCAGGTCCATTCACTACTCTGAATTGTGCGAAATGATGGCTAACAAGTGGGACACGGATCTCTCGGATGGCGATGAATCTGAATCTGATGAATCATCATCCTCTGAACTCGACGACGAAGAATCCTCATCCTCAGAACTCGATATCAAAGAAGCATCCTCCTCTGAACCAGCTGACGATTGAATGAGGTTGTATGCTTGGTGCCTGCATACTCTACTCTCTCTAAAGGAAGTCAACTACAAGTCTGCTAGCATACTAGTATTTCCACATTTCATGTTGTTAAATTCCTCAGTTCGGTAGCCTGCTCTTTTTAATAATCTTTAGCCCGCCAGGGCAGTGTTGTTTCATTTGCTGCAGCTGCAGAGTTGTAGTGTGTAATCTTCTTTGGGATGTAGGCATGGCCAATTATATCAGTTACCAGATATGTTGGTCAAATACTTAAATTTTCAATTTTAGCTTTCAAATGTTATGATGAATTCAAATGCTTGTGCATTAGTATCTTCACGGGATGATGTGTTCATGTTTCAATCGGTAGAGTTCTAGGTGTAGAATTATATATTTGCATACCCATGACATCCGTTTATTTTGTTAATTAATTAGCAGGAGGAGATCGACTAGTATAAATGAAAAAATGGCAAGTGACAAAAAACTTATAAAAAGAGCAAAAAGAATCCCATGTTTTGCCCATGTTATTACCTACTAGGCTCTTCTTTCATCTTGGCGCAGAGGCCGCTGAAAGCCACTTGTCTTCTTAAGTTATATTAGCTAGTGAGGATGGCTATCTTCTAGCCAAACGAGGGTTCGATTCTCACCTTGCTACACATTAATTCTATATATGTTTTGATGTCATTTTAATCGGAGAGGCATTTTTTGTTGCAGTACTGAGGATTTCCATTAGGCATCAACAAGGGTTCGATTCTCACCTTTCTACGTATTAATTCTATATTTGGTAATTATTTTATGCCATTTATTTAATCGAAGAACCGAGGATTTCCATTAGGCATATCAACGAGAGTTTGATTCTCACCTTGTTACATATTAGTTCTATATACGTTAATTTAATGTCATTTCTATTGGAGTATTGAAGATTTTTCCCTTAGGCATAAAATAGGGTGCTTGTCACCTAGCCAACCAAGGTTCGATTCTCAATAGTCATATATAGATTTTCACCTGCAAGCAGATATTGGCAATTTTGTTATCTTTGTGCTTAAACATTCTTACTCGAGGGATTTATTTTGTTTATATATACTTTATATGTTTTACTGTTCCTTAGCACCAGCTCACCACATACAATAATACTTTACCTGACACATGACATCTAATTTCAAGCTAGGTTTAGTTTTCCCTTGTAAGCTTAAGCTTTTGGATCAAATTGATCATGATGTATCAGTGCATTCAGCTTGGTGCATAAGTGCATAATTCAGCTCGATACCTATATTTGTGTGGCCTCTTGGAGAGAATGCATGTGAGTTCCTGCTTGTTTAGTTGGTGTGAAGCACACCATATTTTGGCAAGTGATTTGATGATGAAGAACCTTAGTCGAGCTGTACACATGCATGGGGACCGTATTAATTGCCAGATTTGATGAAATCTCACGTTTACGTAATTTCGTATTAGCGGGGAATAATTTTCAGTAGGTTGGGCCTGTATTATAACGATGCCGTTAGTTTTTTGTTGTTGTTGTTCATATATAACGCATTGCCCTTGGGCTTTGGCAGGTAGTACATAATTTGAACTCGAACTGTATGGGCGAAAATTAAAACAAAAAGAAAAGGAAAATGAACTCGAACTACATGATTTCTTTTTCGAGCCTAAAATGTAAATTCTCGTCGGCCCGCTTGCATCCAGGGCCTGAAGGCAGACGATGACTTGGGCTCAAAATACTGGCCCAGAAGGCGAGTGGGCCTGAACTCAGATTTCTTTTTTTTCAGCTGCTTGAAACCGTGTGCTGTTTTTTTTTTTCACTTATTAAACAAGCAATGCTTAAACCGAACCGGCGCCTGTTGAATAAAGAGTTCTGAGTTTATACGCACGCCTGCCTTTGGTGTGAAAAGTGAAAACTGCATTTACATTACATTTAACCATTGCCAAAATCACCAACGCCAAGGCGCCATTTTTTATGAGGGGCGTTGATCCGAGCCAGAGCAAACTCCCGCCAATTCAACAGACGTCGTTGACGAGTGAGAACAAGCGGCTGCCTCCACCCTCGATCAGAATATATATTTACGCTCACGTACGCCCAACAAGCAGCAGATCGATCACCATTGCATCCAAGCATAAGTTCCTAGTCTGCCATGGTTTGCGCGCTCTCCAAGCACAAGAGGGCTCGTCCTGCTCCACCGACGCCCGGCCCCAGCATGCCTTGCACACCACCGTCCACGCAGCACAAGAGGGCTCGTCGTCCTGCTCAGCCGCCGACGACTACCCCTACGGCGGCGGCGGCGCCCGAGCCCGACTGGTCGTCGCTCACCCCGGACCTCGTCCGCCGCGTCGGCGACCATGTCCTGGCTGCCGACGACATCGACTACTACATGGCCTTCCGTGCCGTCTGCCACAACTGGCGCCGCACCCTCAAGGACAACAACGCGGCAAACTGCACCGACGATCCCACTTTCTTCCAGCCGAGCAAGTGGGCGGTGCTGGACCGGCACGACAGTGACGTCCTCGCGCTCGTCAACCTGGAGACCGGCCGCTTCCTCCGCAAGAGGATCCCGCTGCTCCGCGAATACTTCTTCGTCGGCGCCGCCAGTGGCGGCCTCGTCCTCCTCGCGGAGCCAACGTACCCCTACCGCGCCGTCGTGCTCAACCCCTTCACGGGTGTGCTGGCCCGCTTCAAGGCGCGCGTTCCCACAGGTGATGCAAGGGAGGTCGCCGTGATCGCAGCGCCTCCGCCGACAACGATGACAGTGTTTGTCTGCATGCTAGATGATGGCGCCGTCTTGTGGGCAGACCAGGACAGCAAGTACTTCCGAAAGTGCGCAGCGCCGGCGCCTTACCCCGACGACGGTCTCCTGTGCATGGTTCCCTTCGCCGGCGACGTGTACCTCACCAACCGGCAAGGAGCCGTACTCTCTACAACTGCTGCGGCCGTCGTCGACGATGGCGCCTCCCAAGGTCCACGTTGCAGCCGCTCAGCTCAGAGCATCTCCATGGCCACTGCCATTCCGGAGGCAGTGGAGGGTGGCCATTGCCATTATTACCTCGTGGAGTCTGGGGGAGAGCTGCTGCTTGTGATCAGACGTGCTTGGTATGGCTTGCCCGGCGATCAGTTGACCGTCGATCATGTGGCCGTCCACAGGGTGGACACCGTGAGGAACGTGCTTGAGCCGGTGAGCACCATCGGCAGCCGCGCCCTCTTCCTCAGCCGTGTCAGGTGTGTCTCCATCGACGCCGAGAAGTTCCCGGCCGTCCAAGGTGGCTGCATCTACTTTGTGGATCAGTTCGTCACCGGAAGCTGCTACTTCGACGTTCAGTTCTCGTTCATGACCGTTGTTCGCTTCCCTGGTGCCGACGGAGTGCAGCAGCCTATGGTGGATGTAAGCCCCATACCAGCATATTGTTTCCAGCCGTTCACCCTCACCCATGTTTTTGCAAAATACTGCAAGTTTGTCCAGTGTTCTGAACTGCGCCGCGAAGTTATGATCGATGACGAGGAAGATTGCTCGGATGACGACGAGGAGGATTCTGATGAAGAAGATTATTTCTCAGATGATGACGACGGTTCTGATGGAGGGTCCTCTGAATCTGATCAATGAAAAGGGATACATATGCAATGCACAGCCGGAGGATAAGGTGGGCGGACGCATGCCGTTGTGGGAAAACTGGGTTGAAAGATTTGCATTAATTTACATGAACCATATTGTTTAAGACAGTAGAGCCTCTGCGTCTAGTTTTCTTTTAATAAGTGAGGCTTAATTTTGCCAAAAAGAAAACTGACATGACTACGTTTTTGAAGCCAATTCCCTCGGTGCCATCAAAATTTTTATGACTCGATCTGAGCATGCTACTGAAATTAGTCTTGTAAAACCATTGCAAAAAAAAAATGACACTTCCGTCGTGTTGCTGTTAAAGTGGTTAAGTTTCTCTGGAGAAAACAATTTTGCCCCTGCCATTGAATGAACCAAGGTGGACCACTCATTTCATTAAACACATTGCAAGTCATTTCTGTCGCTAAGAGCAGCCCCAGTATCGCTGAAAATCTGAGTGTGCCTATCGCCGGGACGTGCGGACGCTGGCCCTGTTTGGACGCGCCTTGCCGGAATGCTGCTGAGCCTGCCCCGTATGGGGCTACAACTGCTGCGCCTGCCTGGCCGCCCTGCTGCGCATGCAAGTGGGGACCACCCACGCCCACTTCGCTTCCCGCGCACACGGAACAGCGCATACGTCACCTTCTTGCGCCTGCTAATGTTGAAATATGAAGCACTTTCGCAACGTACGTCTGAAGAAGGTGAAACATTTACAACATACGCTTGCGACATATATGTATAGCCACTGCAACACATGCAACATCTAGATAAAACACTAGCAAAATACGTCTAGAACAAATAAAATATTTTGAATAGACGTTTCAAACATATGTTTATAGCCACTAAAACATATGCAATATCGAGATAAAACACTTGCAAACATATGTCTGAAATAGATGAAACATTTTGAATAGACGCTTGCAACATATCTCTAAAACACTTGCAACATACTTCTGAAACACTTGCAACTTATGCAACATCCATACATCTTAAACACTTGAAACATGGACTTGCAACATACGGGTCCTCCTATCGTGGTGTCTTCAATGAACCATGGGAGATGATGTCCCAGCCGACAACGACCTTCTCCCGGTGGCATCGGGGTGGTGGTGGCGTTGTGCACGTCGTGGCCGTGACGGGCAAGCGCAAATTGGGGCACGGTGGTGGATGGCCACGACGGCGATGCGGAGTGGGGCGACACAGCGTAGGATGGGGTACGCTGCGAGCGCGGGGGATGGTGGAGTGGGTCAGCCAAGCGCAGGATAGGGGTGCGCGCGGTGGCGGAGTGAGGCGGTCGGGCGCAAGATGGGGTCGCATGCGGGGATGGCCGCTACCACAAGGCGAAGTGGGACGCGCGTGTCTGGAGTGAGGCGCGCATCGTCCGAATGGGGCGGACGCCCGTGGCCAAGCATTCTCGTTACTCTATACATGGGTCCGCAGTCGATGTTTACATTAGAGGAGTTGAGCTTTGCTTTTGTTTGTTTCTCATTGAGTGAAATTCAGCGGAGATCTTTGAAATTGTCTATAGGTATCATATGCGTCCCCAAAGTCACAAAATGCACTTTTGGGTCCCTGGAGTTGGTTCGGTCTCATTCAGGTCCCAACGGGCTTTTACCTGACCCGGTAGCTGACGTGACATGTCAATTCAATGCTTACATGGATCTGACATATGGGACCCATGTTCGCAGCAAGGATCAACCTTTTAAAAATTGTATCTTTTTCATACGACCTCGGATAAAAATAATTTTTATGTCACAATTGTAGCTCTCGATATGATCTACAACTTTCTAGTCTTTAGTTTTTTATTTAAAATCATTAATATGCTAAAAGGTTAATATAAAGTTTTAGCAAAAAAATGTTTTAACTCAGAAAATATATGCATTTAAAATTACTAAATTTGATCAAAACTTAGAAAATTAATAAAAAAATATTTTAACTCAAAAAAATATGAATCCAGTTTTATATTCTTTTTCTGCAATCTGGCTCTATATTTTTGTCCCTTGCTTAGAACTATTTCAATCTTATGTGGTCCTCTAAAATTCGAAACTGAACTAAATATGAAAGGGAAGATGCAGCCAAGACAAATCTTTGAAGATCGCATCGCGTATCGCCTTGCAACCTGCCATGTAAACTACAAACAACATTTGCTCAGTAGCAATGTTTTGCTTAACCTTTGAGACATGCATAGAAAATTCCAAATAAAAGTATAATTCAAGTTATGTTCTTATCTTAACACATACCATGTCGTTTAACTTTGTTGCAACAATTGTCTTCTCCCGGGTACATCACAACAATAACGTGTGGAGAACTGCAGACTCATTGAACCATCAGCATGCAATAGCTGGCGTGCAACTTCTCAAACAATTGTGGTAGCTGGTTTTATATTTTTCTATGGTAGAACAAATTTTCTTTGATTATTTCAAAATTTTAATTAGATTTATTTCTGGACTCATACTTATTCTAGAAAATTCATACTTTCTAGAAAGTATTTAGATATTTTTGAGAAAAGTATTTCTAAATTAATTCCATAAAAGTATTTCTATTATTTTGATAAAGTCATTTGTTCTATTTTGAATGCATATTTATTCTAGAAAAATATTTGGATAACTTTTTTAAGAAAGTCTAAGTGAACCCTGAAAAATATGTGGATATTTTTTGAAAGATTATTTTTATATTTATTTCCCAAAAAATAGTTCCATAATTTTTAAACACATATTTATTCGAGAAAGTCTAATTTATCTGTCTCTTCACGCTTACGACGGTTGGCGTGACGCTATGAGCCAAAAGCACTTTAAAAACCAGTTGGGGAGATAAATTGGATGATTTTAAAAATAGGAGATTTTTTAAAAAAAGCTGATTTTCTAATTAAAGGCAAATAGAACTTGAACAATTACTTCAGAAAGATAAGTAAACTTTTTTCGATTGGATTGTTGGATTTGGAACGACCAAATCTCAGTCTCCCACTCCCAAATCCAGGGGAAGAATGATAATAACTGCAGCGAGCAGTAAATAGCAATGCCACGCATTGGTGGATCATATGGCCGCTTCTTTTCTTCTTATTCCACTCGACCTCAAGCGCCGCGTTCACGTCGCCTTCCTGCTGGCTGCCTGTCTCTACTATTTAACCCCCATCACCCCCTGCTCTCTTCGCCTACATCATCAGCACAGCACCAAACAACAAACAAGTCCCTGCAACCCGGAGCCCACGAGGGTCGATCGAGGCCATGGCGCAGGGCTGGTCCTCGCTTCTGGAGGAACTCGTCAACCGCGTCGCCGACTGTCTCATAGCCACCAGCGACCTCGACTACTACATGGACCTGCGAGGCGTCTGCCGGCACTGGCGCTTCTCCACCGCCGACCCCAGGAGCTACCAGCAGGAACCCCGCTTCCGAACCCACCCGGTGGGTCATGCTGGACGAAGACAAGTTCTCCTCCTCCAGGTCTAACGCCGCCGCCGACGACGACACGCGCCTCTTCCTCAACTACGCCACCAGCAGCTTCGCCCGCATTCTCCTGCCACTCCTCCGCGACTACATCTTCATCACCACCACCACCGGCAGCCTCCTCGTCCTGGCGGCCAGGGGCTCGCCACAGGCCGTGCGCGTCCTCAACCCCTTCACCTTAGCTTCTGAGTGGCATCCCAACTCTGCCGCACGGAGGCTGCCCCCGATAGCAGTAGACGCAGCCGGCAAATGTTCTCCCTTTTTTAACCTTCGTCGTCAGCTCTACCATCAGATGGGCTACCGTTGTCACGTAGTTGAGTCCGCTGCCGGTGGCGCCGGGAAATGTTAGGCGGTCTTCGAGCACCGCTATGGCCATGATATGGATTTATTCAAGATTGACTCTGCTGGGATTGTTCTGGAGCACATCAGGAGCATCGATAGCCTGGCTCTGTTCCTCGGTGACTCTTGTTGTCGAAATTTTTTTTTAATCGGCCGCTCCGAGGCGGAGCCTATCGGTAGCGCGGGGGCCGAAAAGGTCGAATCGGCCGTCCAGTTACCGATAAGGGATCCAATCGGCCGCTCCGAGGCCGATAATCTTCCGTCGGCTATCCAGTTGCCGACAAGGGTACCTACCGGCGACAACGACAATCTAGGCGATGTCCGAGCTCGTCAGCAGCCCGGACGCGATGAAGCAAGCTCAGTCAGAAGTCCGACGAGTCCTCCATGGCAAAACACGTGAGCAAATAGAAAGATGTTGAAGACAACACCAACCTCACAGATGTCATGTTCCATCAAGGACGGATCCAACAGTGGGGTGGGTAGGGCTGAAGCTCCCCCTACTACCATGTAACTACAAGCAACAAAATACTAAGAACATAAACAAATAGGATATAAATAACTCCAAATAAACCACCAAGACACTAATAGATAGATAACATTTTAAAAACATATACTAGTTTCACATATTTTTATTTAAAATAAATTAATTATGAATTTTATTGATTAATTATTTTAATATTATTTAGAAATAAAACCCTGCCTTTGAAAGCAGTTAGCAGAATAAATTTATCTTGTCTAGATAGTTTCAATGGTATGGTGGCTGGTTTCATAGTTTGGGATGAAAATCAGACGACTATCATTCAAGTTGATGGTTGAAAAAGGACTTCATCCTCACTAGAAACAAATTGAATGATATCTTTATTTGGCATGGGCAAAACTAGCACAACCACTGTGATTGGAGAGGGGAAAAGAGGAGGAGGAAGATGACTACATGAAGTTCGTGCCAATGGATGTGACGTGACACATGGAATACAATCAAAGAAACAAGACTATTTATAAAAAAAACAATTTAAAATGAGAACAAATCAAATATTATATATAAAAAGCCTAGCTACTCACACAATTTACATGGACGCTAGTTAGTTTTAAATTATCCATTTTTGAACGGAAATGTAATAATCCAAATTGAGGAGTCGATACTTACTTAATAAATTTGGAGCATCCTATAATCAAGCATGAGACAGTAGTAAATTGGAATGCAACGGTAATAAACAAACACCTCCTCAGCTACCCCCACTCTATTCCGATATGGAGCAATCGAGCACGAACACAAGAGCGGCGGCAGAGGGGCGTCATCGACGGCGAGGTTGGGACCCGCAAGAGCGGCGGCGGCGCCGTTGGTGCCATGAAGGCACCGCATGTTGCAAGAAGATGCCCACAGGACGACGTCACCCGGCAACTCCACGCCTGCTGTCGGATACCATAAAAAAGGGGTACCCTAAGCAAGAACCGAAAGGATTGCTTAGGACCTCGCAAATATCAAAGCCAAAGGATAATCACAGGGTCTCGGCCGATTCTCCGACTCGCCTGAAGCCCACGTCGCAACGACTCTCCGCCTCGCCGAGGCCCCCTCGCCGAGGCCCTCTCGTGCTGAGTGAAAGGTCCTAATATGGCTAGAGGGGGGGTGAATAGCCTATTTAAAAATCTACAAATCAACTAGAGCAATTTGATTAGTATGACAAATAGCGTAATGTAAATTTGCTCTAGCTCTACAAGGGTTGCAAGCCACCTATACAACAATTCTAGTTGCAATGAATACTTAGGCACACAAACTAGCTATGTAATTACTCACTAAGAGCTCTCAACCTTGCTACTCTAAAGAGCTCAACTAGATGAATGTAAATAATAAAGCAAGCTCTCAATTCTAATTACACTAAAGAGCTTGTATCAACTAGTTTGCAAGAATGTAAATGAGTGAGTAGAGTGATTATAACGACGTGTAGGGGATGAACCAATCACAAGATGAATATATAGCCAATCACCGGAGAATGACAAAGAAGAGATTCACCGGCAAACAGAGCCGCTGTGGACGGCTCACCGGGTCCGGCCGCTCGATGGACGCCTACACGTCACCAGCCTTCAAACCATGGATTGCTTACGATTTCACTGCCTTCAACAGATGTCGACGATTTCAAACCCTTCACTGGACGACCGACCGACCGGTTCCTGTGTCCCGCCGCCGTTTCCAAGAAGCTCCCGGCGATTGACCGCTGACGCCGTTCGTCCACACGACTTGTCCGGACCGATTACCTGCCCGTGCTCTCCTAATTAGCCACTATGCTTGCTTGACAAGACAACCGGACGCAGTTTTTCAGGCGTACCCGGTCTTGGGCAATGAGGACTCAAAGCCTCGTCAAGAGACCAACGCCAAAGATCATTTCGACCAACCCATTTCAACTCTAACTTCTTCACCCTTGCTCAAATGTGCCAACCACTAAGACTTTGCATCCCAATAATAGAAAATAGACATTTCATTTTCCCGAAAGCGCCAAATCCATCTCAACCCTACAAACACCTTTAAGATTGGCTTCGGCTCAACTCCATTTCCCCAACTCTAACTTCTTCACCCTTGCTCGTACCGTAAAAGCAATCCACTAAGACTTTGCATCCGGGCGCATAAAATAGACATTTCATTTTCCGAAGCGCTAAACTATCTCAACCCTACAAAGGTCTTATGCACATGTGTTAGCATATTTTCACAAATATTCTGGTGTTAGCACTTCACTAGATCCTAAATGCATATGCAATGAGTTAGAGCATTAGTGGCACTTTGATAACCGATTTCGGGACATGGAAGTTACACTCCTCTTAATAGTAATGGCTATCTATCCTAAATGTGATCACACTCACTAAGTGTTTTGATCACTAAACAAAAAGATAGATAACATTTTAAAAACATATACTAGTTTCACATATTTTTATTTAAAATAAATTAATTATGAATTTTATTGATTAATTATTTTAATATTATTTAGAAATAAAACCCCTGCCTTTGAAAGCAGTTAGCAGAATAAATTTATCTTGTCTAGATAGTTTCAATGGTATGGTGGCTGGTTTCATAGTTTGGGATGAAAATCAGACGACTATCATTCAAGTTGATGGTTGAAAAGGACTTCATCCTCACTAGAAACAAATTGAATGATATCTTTATTTGGCATGGGCAAAACTAGCACAACCACTGTGATTGGAGAGGGAAAAGAGGAGGAGGAAGATGACTACATGAAGTTCGTGCCAATGGATGTGACGTGACACATGGAATACAATCAAAGAAACAAGACTATTTATAAAAAAACAATTTAAAATGAGAACAAATCAAATATTATATATAAAAAGCCTAGCTACTCACACAATTTACATGGACGCTAGTTAGTTTTAAATTATCCATTTTGAACGGAAATGTAATAATCCAAATTGAGGAGTCGATACTTACTTAATAAATTTGGAGCATCCTATAATCAAGCATGAGACAGTAGTAAATTGGAATGCAACGGTAATAAACAAACACCTCCTCAGCTACCCCCACTCTATTCCGATATGGAGCAACCGAGCACTAACACAAGAGCTGGCGGCAGAGGGCGCCATCGACGGCGAGGTTGGGACCAGAAGAGCGGCGGCGGCGCCTGCTGGTGCCATGAAGGCACCGCATGTTGCAAGAAGATGCCCACAGGACGATCGCCACCCCGCAACTCCACGCCTGCTGTCGGATACCATAAAAAGGGTACCCTAAGCAAGAACCAAAGGATTGCTTAGGACCTCGCAAATATCAAAGCCAAAGGATAATCACAGGGTCTCGGCCGATTCTCCCACTCGCCTGAAGCCCACGCATCAACGACTCCCGCCTCGCGAGAGCCTCCCCGCCGAGGCCCTCTCTGCTTGAGTGAAAGGTCCTAATATGGCTAGAGGGGGGGGTGAATAGCCTATTTAAAAATCTACAAATCAACTAGAGCAATTTGATTAGTATGACAAATAGCGTAATGTAAATTTGTTTCTAGCTCTCACAAGGGTTGCAAGCCACCTATACAACAATTCTAGTTGCAATGAATACTTAGGCACACAAACTAGCTATGTAATTACTCACTAAGAGCTCTCAACCTTGCTACTCTAAAGAGCTCAACTAGATGAATGTAAATAATAAAGCAAGCTCTCAATTCTAATTACACTAAAGAGCTTGTATCAACTAGTTTGCAAGAATGTAAATGAGTGAGTAGAGTGATTATAACGATTTGTAGGGGATGAACCAATCACAAGATGAATATATAGCCAATCACCGGGAGAATGACAAAGAAGAGAGACAATCGATTTTCTCCCGAGGTTCACGGCTTGCCAACACGCTTACGCCCCCTTGTGTCGACCAACACTTGGTGGTTCGCGCGGCTAAGAGGTGTTTCACAAACCTCGTCACACAATTGGACACCGCAAGAACCGACCCACAAGTGAGCTAACTCAATGACACGAGCAATTTACTAGAGTTACCTTTCGCCCTCCGGAAGGTACAACTCCCCTCACAATCACCAAGGCGCCCACGAACAATCACCAACTCGCGGCCGATCCTTCACCGCTGCTCCAACCGCTTCTAGGTGGTGGCAACCACCAAGAGAAATGTTTAAATCATAGCAAGAACACCTAATACCAAGTGCCTCTAGATGCAATCACTCAAGCAATGC